AAATCATTGTCGTTAACATCCTTATCCGGGGTATCTTTTATTATCTTTTCACGTCGGCACCTTATTCTTAAATAGTAAACCCACCCGTCTTCATTTGATCCTATGGAGTATTGGTAAAAGAGCTCGGCTAAACCAAGGTTAAGGCCAGCCCGGCAGTTTAGCTTGGCGATGTCATTTATTATGCGGTATGAATTTGTGGGAAGTTGGGTTAGGCAGAGGTTGGTTTGTCTGAGGAACTCGCAAAGGAGGGGCTGTACAGGAAATCTTAGTTCAGTTTCTATAATGGAAAGAAGTGTAAAGGGAACAAAGCCAGGGTTTCCCCAGGGTACGGTATCTAGTTCGGCTAGAGTGAGATGAACATCATCAGGGATATGGTAGTCCCTTCGGAACTCGGCCATAGCACCTGGTGAGTTCACTAAAAGCCTACATTTACCCATAAGGATTTAAATTATGTATAAATTAGCCTGCAGTATTAGCTCGGCGCCAAGCAGGTAAAGGGTATCTCAGTTGGACGTGTAAAGGAGTGCCTGGGCAACCTAGTCAGAGTCTGCAAAGTGAAAAAGAAAGGTGTTAAGCACAGATCGTGGGACCGTGCTACAAGTAATATAGGCAAAGATAAATGAAGTCCTAACTAGGTTACATGGAATGCTATCCAGTTTTAGCTTGGTTTAAGCAAGGGGCATCAGCCCGGTCGAGCCATCGGGGCAGCATTTTTAGTTCGGTTTGAACTAAGAATGCTGGTTTAGCCCCAAGATTTAGCTCGGTCTATGGTTGAGGCTTTCTAGCTTAGTATTATGCAAACCTAGTACGGTGCGATAGCTCGGTTAAAAGAAACAAAAGGTTCCCAACTTATGGAAACCACAAGTATGGCATAAGTGTTAGTGCGGTTGTTGGTTGTGGCTAGGCTTGCATCTAATACAAACAGTATCCTAATTCGGTTGATGTGTGATTTTGGATCAGATACATCGTTCTTCAGTTTATTCGTGAGTACCAGTGGTTATATTACAAAGGTTTTTCCAGAAAATGGAAGCAAAAATGGAACATATGCTTTGAAAAACATAAACATGCTTTGTGTTGTAAACAGAGGTGCGAAATCAACAGAAATGAAGAAGATTCGAATCACTTACCAGTTCAAAGGTGACGACACTGAAGATGGAGGTAGTATCAACAAGAACACGAGCTCCACAGTTGCAAGAGAATGAGGGAGAAGAAGTTCGAAGAGAGAGAAAGTAATGAATAGTGGAATGATTGATTCAAAACGAAAGGGTTTGTTTTGTGTGAAGGGATGAAAAAAAGGCGGGACTATTCAAAAGTCGCGAGGTACGAAGGCAGCGTGACAGCTGCATTGGGCTAATAAGGGTTTGCCACGTGTATAAAGAATGGAAATCGATTCAGTTACAGTGACTGAAGAGACATTTTGACCAGACAGATTGGTAACACGGTGTGAATTTACCTTGGTTGAAAGGCTAAAGTTTGTTAGCTCGATCGGAAGGCTAAAGTTCTTTAGCTTGGTTGGAAGGCTAAAGTTTTTTTAGCTCAGCTGGTAACAAGTAATCCCTATCATGCTGCGCAAATGGAATTAAGGGGCAATTGAGAGAGTAATTTATATATAAATTGGGCCGAGCTGGATAAAGGGCCATTCTGCGGGTCATGGTAAGAAGGGCTGAGTAAAAGGGGCCTTGTAATTAGTCCGGTCCAAAAGAGCCCTGCAGATAGTCCGGTCCGAAGGAGCTTGGTGGTTAGCTCGGTCACCACGGTTGACGCGGTGACAGTTAGCTCGGTCATACTATATTGGGCCGAAGTATGTTGGCTTCTACTTAGGACCTTGCGGTTAGATAGCTCGGTCCAAGCTCATTGTGGATAGCACGGTTTCAGACAACCCAGTTGGAATATGTCAACCGAGGTACACGCGCAGTGAAAGGAAGAACCGAGCTAGCTGGAGCTCGGTCTAGTCTACGGCTTTAATGTGGCCATGTTATCTCGGTCGTATTGCCATCCAACCATGGTGTAGACACCCCATTTTTGACCGTCCTTAAGATTTGGACGTCATCGTTTGAACACTCGATGATTACCCTTGTTTGTGTTCGTCTTGAGTTCTCGGAGGTTTCGGCTACGCGCCTTACCTCAAGACCTCTCGACTTGTTTGTTTTGTGTTTGGTTTTGCATCAAACACTTGTTGTTTTGTTTCTGAGGGTGAGAAATAGCTTGTAGGCCATCCCCACACCTCACCGGCCATGGCTTGAGGCCACCGGCCTTGTTTCTTTGTCACCAGCCATTGGTGATGGCCGGTCGGCACTATTGATGGCCACTGATTTTGGTCAATCGGCCACTTTTTCTGCCCGAGACCTTTTCTTGAGGGGGTTTGAACCTTTTGAACCCTTGATTCTAGTTTCTTGAGGAAGCTTGAACCTTTTGAACCCTTGGTTTTAGCTTCTTGAGGAAGCTTGAACCTTTTGAATCTTTGTTCTAGCTTCTCCAAGAAGCTTGAACCCTTTGTCTAGCTTCTCCAAGATGCTTGGCCCTTTTGCCTAGCTTTTCCAAGAAGCGTGGCCCTTTTGTCTAGCTTTTCCAAGAAGCTTGGCCTTCTTAGCCCTTTTGCTCCAAGCTTCTAAGAGAAGCTTGGACCCTTCTTCCTCTATAAAAGAAGAGCTCCTCTTCCATTGCAAGGGTTCCAAGAAATTTGTCTAAGGCAAAAACCATACACTTCCCTCCATATCTCTACATTCCAAGCTCCAAAGTCCATAGTTCTTGGCCCCTTTGCACCACAACTCCTAAGCACACACCTCCACCACTCATCTAAGGTTCTTGGAGGGTCTTGTGGGGACTCAAGACTTGGTTTTGACTCAGAAAAACCTGCTGGAGTGCTGATTTTGAAGAAGGTCTTCAAGGATGAGTTTCTCCCTCTTTTATTCCCCGTTTTTGCACAAGTTTTTAGCCTATCTTGCACATTGTTTTGAGCTTAGTGTATAACTGATAAAAACTCTATTTTTTCATGCTTTTGATGTTTGTTTAAGACCACTTTTGTGTTTGGGATTGTTTACCCCCTCTTAGGCCTCATTTGGCCCCCATTTTATGCTATTTTGGTGAGCTCCGGGACCACCTTGCTTGGGCCTCCTCACCACTGAAATCCCTCACCACTGAAATATTGAGGGATTTTAGTGGTGAGGATGGTGTTTAAGGTCCTAAGAAGGAGAGAGCCATCCCCTCTCCTTGTTGCCTTTAATATTGGCCATTTTTGCCTCATGTGTGAGCATCATTCTTAAGTTCATGTTGACCATGTATTAGTAGGTATTTGGTAGTATTTTGCCATGTTTTACCTCTGTTTTAAGTTGATTTATACACACCATGCTTGCTTTGCATACTTGTCTTGTAATGCCATAAAATTGCCTTAACATGTATCTAGCATTTAGACCATTATGTTTACTTGTTTTGGCTTGGCTTTGTGAAGCTTTTATGCAAGTTTTAGTGTGCTTGAGGACTGTTTTTGGTTGTTTGGGTCATCCCTGCTTTGCTTTGTACAGCTACCATGTAATCTCCCTTGTAGGCCTTGAGTATTGGACCCTCTAGCATGCTCTATTTGCATTGTTTTAGTGGTTTGGAACCACTTTCCATGTCATTTCAGTCCTTATGACATGCTTGTATGCTTGCATTTGATGCTCCTTTAATACTTTAAGAGGTTGGTGTCTTATGCTCTATGTATGGCCCCTTTTGCATGCCTTTAGAATTAGGCCATTTAGATGCCATCTAGGTGTGTCTTTGACCTTGTTTTGGCATGATTTGGGGCTGTTTTGTTTCAATTTGGTCATTTGCTTCATGTGTCACATGACCATAGTTTAAATCCCTGAACTTGGTTCCGTGCTTTGCATGCTTGTTAGCTTAGGTTGTGTGCCTAGTATACATTGTTTGCGCCCATGCTCATGTTGCATACTTAGCTCACATGCTTAGGTTGCATTTGGCATGCATGTCTTGCCTTTTGATTAACCATGATTAAGGTCGGGCCCCTTGTTTGTTTGTATGCATTTCATTCTAATATTGAATTGCATGCTTTGGCTTCTTGGGCCATCACGCATTGAAATGCGCGATTGGTGGTCCGAGGGTCGAGGACCATCCTCCTTTGAGTCACGAACATGATAAGGAGGGTGTTGGTACAAACATTGCTTTGAAAATACTTTGCCATGTCTTGTCTGTCCTCTACTGCTGTCAAAACAGGCTTCTGCAGGAATCTTTGGTCGGCCGACCATCTATACTGCGGACCGACCAAATATTTGTGGCCGAGAGCTCCATAATTGGTCGATGACCAACTCCCTTTGGCCGGTGGTGATTCCCCTTGGTCGGTGGTGTTCCATTAAGGAATTGTTTGGATGTCTTAAATAAATATATTTTTTGATTTTTTAGATTAAATAGTTGAGGAAAAAAATATGGTTGTTTAGATTAACTTTTTGAGTTTTTACGAAAAAAATGTTAATTAAAAAATTGTATAAATTAGTGTGTAAGAGAAGATAAGGACAGTATGTAGTAGGCTATACCGTTTGGGTAAGTGAATTGATGATAAGAAATGGTTGCCTACTTTTCGAACATTGCATTGGACAGTATTGTTTGGTCCATAGGGCCCATCACGAATCCCGTTTTGATAATCTGAACCGTTGAATATGTAGAACTCGTCGAGTACTATATAATCATGAAAATCATGTTAATCAGATATCGATAGCTATATGATCAAATCAGTTTCGTATTAAAAAAATTGGACGGTGAACAAGTTAACGGTTGACAAAAAACTATTTTAATCATATAGCTATCGATATCCGTTCAACGTGATTTTTTATGAATATATAGTACTCGATAAGTTCTATATATTGAACGGTTCAAATTATCAAAACAAGACCCGTAATAGATCTACACAAACTCAACAGTACAATCCAATCTGAGCTCATACTGAACATTAGCCGTACCCTTATCGAAAAATGAAAAGCCGACAAAACCATCCTTGGCACTTTTTATACAGCATTTCCAAAACGTGGGTGAGAAACACTGGACACAGAGATATATACTGTTCTGAAGAGACAGGAATCTTTGAGAGAGGGGTTGTAGTATAACACACAGAGAAAGGGAGAGGCACAGAGGTGATTCAGAGACAGAGACAGAGAGAGGGAGAGGGGTCTTTCTAGCAATTCACTAATCAACTCTTTGGAATTAATTAGGAGTTCACTTTGTATTGATTGATTGATGATTTCTTTGGCTTTGTCCCGAACTTTGACAATTTGGAAAGATGCAGCTGGAATCGCTGGTACCCCCGTCTCTTTCTTCTCTCTTTCTCTCTCTCTGTCTCTCTCTCAATATATATATCACATATATATGTATGCACGTGTATGGTTTGGTCACTACTTGATTTTCTTTTCTTTTCTTTTCTTTTCCTTTCCTTTCTTTTTGTTCCTTGCATTATTGGCTTAAAGAAAGGAAATCCATGATTCTACTTTCACAATAACACTGAGTTTGTGGGTATATATCATTTTGATCCAAAAGGGCACCTTTCTTGTTCATCAATTTATAGAATTAATTGGGTACAATTGTAATTTGGGTTTGTGGAAATTTGCTATATTGTTGGTTCATTATTGTAACTGGAAAAAAAGTCCTTTTTGTTGAACCAACTGATAAAAATTTTGAGCTGTGGGGTCACTTCATCTCATAACCACTAATAGTCTAATCTAATAAAAGAAACATGAGATAAATTGTTGTTTTGGACTTTTGGTTAAAAGTTGGTTTTTTTTATTTTATTTTTTTTAAATGTGTAAAAAATAGTTAAGTAGTAATGTTACCCAAAATAGATTAAAAGCTGGGTTTTAGCCAAGTTCCCAAATTGAGCCAAAGAAAAAGAGGCTTGTTTCTACATTCAGATTTTGGATGTATCTATATCTATATGTATATGTGTGTATGTATGATGAATTGTCTGCTTTGGATAAGCTTTTATAATACGAAAATGCTAATGATCGCCCACTGTCTCGCTTATAAAATGGTTTCAAATATGTGAAAATGTATGAAAATACGTAAAAGTATTAGGGAATATATGCAAAAAAGTGTATTAGGGTTTTATCTACTTGGCATTATCTATACCTTAATGATAGGACTGTTGTTGCCCCTAATAAGATGGGCAATGAGCATATGAGGGAAGATGCTTACAGATAGTGATAGTGACAAATAGGAATTAAAAACAACGCCCAATTAATGACAAATAGAAATTGTTTGGCATTTAATAATTTGTAGAAAATCCCAAAACAGATTATGGAATGAGAAAAGCAATGCATAGCATACTGTGTCTCTGAATTTATTCTGAAAATAGTCTGGAATAGTTCTCAGTTTTGTTACTAATCAAGTTGTGAGCTTAAGCTTAATTTGAGCTTAAGTCTATATACTTAGAATTAAACCACAAAAAAAATCTTAAGAATGTGTCCATTAACATGATGGGTCTCACCACAGGTCTCCTCACTCGCTAGTTTCCTCATAATTTTCATTAGGGGTGGGCTCATCTTTCTGAAATGTATATTCTTGGTACTTGTATGAGGTTTAATAACAAAGAGTGTGCAGACTTACTCTTATTTGCTTTATTAAAGTGGTGAATATTTCAAGCATGATACAAGAACTTGTCACAATGCTCATACTTGTGTGCCTATTTCAGGCAACATCTTTGCTTTTGGACTGTTTGTGTCACCAATGTAAGTTTCTCTCCCTAACACTTAATTTTCTGTGGTATGCCATTGGACGATCAAGGATGAACAATGAATTAAGAGATAGGCCTCAATAATTCTTACTTATTTTTCTTTTCTTTTCTATTTTTCAGACCCACGTTTAGGAGGATTATCAGAAACAAGTCAACAGAACAGTTCTCAGGCTTGCCATATATATACGCCCTCTTGAATTGCTTGATATGTGCCTGGTATGGCACACCTCTCGTATCTTTGGATAATCTATTTGTTACCACAGTCAACTCTGTTGGTGCAGTTTTTCAAATTACCTACATAACCATGTTCATAACATACGCCGAGAAAGAAAATAAGGTTACTTATCCCTATCTTTACTGGTCTTTGTTACTAACTAGAGGAATTCTCAAACCATTAAGAATGTGTTTGGATCAAGGATTTGAAGAGGGATTCGTGAAGGGAATAGAAAAATAAGAAGTAAAAGTGAACAAAATTTAGCTTATATTTCATTCATCTTTCTTTTCCTTTTCCTCCACAAATCTCTTCTCAAATCCTTGATCCACCCTAAACCTTGTGTATGCTTTTCATTCATTTTTTCTCTTGGATGTCGCTGGCATGGCAGCTAAGGATGCTTGGTTTGCTGCTGGCAGATCTTAGCATATTTGCAATTGTACTTGTCGGGAGCTTGCATTTAAGTGACCTCACAACACGCCATATTTTCATTGGGTTTCTAAGCGGTGCTTCTCTTGTATCAATGTTTGCTTCTCCATTGTTTGTGATTGTACGTTTATCTAATGCTTCTTCTACACTTTTTCTGTGGAGGGTTTATGTTCTTTAATTGTTTTACAGTATTTTACTCATCTTGATTATGTATATTTTGCCAGAATGTGGTGATCCGGACAAGGAGTGTTGAATTTATGCCGTTTTATCTTTCCCTTTCAACTTTCCTGATGAGTACCAGTTTCTTCTTGTATGGAATTTTAAATGGCGATCCCTTCATATGTGTAAGCTTCCTTTATCAAATTTGGTTTCCTTGTTTCGTAGCTCTTGCTCTGCCTTGTGCCATGTTCGTAAAATTTATATCTTTATTTGGTGATATTGTAATCCTTGTAAATGATGCTTACTTTATTTGAATTTCAGGTGCCTAATGGAATAGGTACCATTTTGGGGATTGTACAATTGGCTTTGTTCTTTTACTACAAAAATGCATCTGGAGAAGTCTCCAGAGAACCCTTGATAATCTCATCGACATAAAACGGTCCATGGGCTAAGTAAAGGTGCATATGTATTTTCTGTTGTTGTCTTCTGTTTGAATTGTTCAATGCCTTTGTTGTTATATCGCAAAGTTATTCTATTACTTCTTTTGTTGAGAATTCAGATGCCGAATGTATTCAACATCATGTCCTGTCCTGTCCATTTTTGTCAACTGGCATAATTTGTTCAACTGCTCGAATTTATATTCGTCTAGGTTGTTCATTGTACCTTCTGTTTTGTCCACAGTAGAAAGTGGATTTGAAGTGATTTTTGGTTGCAGTTTCTTATTGAATTGCTTGGACTCTCTCTCTCTCTCTCTCCCCATCCCGTTCAATGCATGTGTAAGAAATGTATTTTCCTGTTGGATAATTTGAAACAGTAGGTGACTATTTTTTTATGGTTTTGTCCACAGTAGAGGGTGTTGGATTGCTTGATATAAATTGTTGGATTCACTTTCTAACTGTCTAAGATTTTGGGACAGTCAGTGATTTAACACTCCTCCCGTGTAGGAATTAAGGCAGATATGTATGTCGGGAATTTTTTTTAATATTTTATTCCTTTTTCAGAATTCAAACACAATTGATTGAGGGAAATGGACACGATAAAAGGCCAAAACCCAAATAGTAATTTTTAAGAATGGGTCTGCAGTTTGATCAATCAATCTGAATTTAGAAATACAATAGGCTGAAGCTCAATCAATTGAATGCCAGTATTGATAATTTAGGTGACTAAGCTATACTGGAAAATTTACACAAACACAAGCTATATATGGTGGTGTTTGGGAAGGAAAATTTTTGGGTTTTTTTTATTTTTTTTTCATTAAAAGGCAAATTAGTTACAAAATCAAAAAAAAATAAATCCAAACAAAATATCACATCAAACCCCATAATCATTTCACTTTTTCTCTCACAAATATCACATCCAATCACAAAAAACCCAACTATCTTCCCAAACACAAAAAAAAAGTTTCTCCAATAATATCCTACAACTAAAAAAATCTACAAAAAAACCTACTTCTCAAACACCCACATTCTTGTGTTGCACAGTTTTTTGTAGTTTTGTTTGCTGAGAATCTGAACATCTAACTTTCCTGAGGTTAAATAATCGGCCAAATTGAGTTGAGTCTTCATCATGAAGGAAATGAATGACGGGAATTGTATGGCTTTTGAATTGCACGTTGTTTGTTCAAATATATTCAAAACGTTACTTTTCTTTTTTGCTCCAATAAAAACTGTGCAACGCAAGACTATATATATTATATTCAACTGATTCACATCTGTTTAAAGCTAATTTATGAGGTTGTCTACACAATTTCACATCACTCGATACCTTTCCTGTATCACATTTGATGGATCAGGGTAGGTTTAAGAGTTCATCTATCCCGTACATCTCAGTTCGGCCGGATCATCCCCGTGTTCTTTTTCTTAATCTAGGTGACATGGTCATTGTGGACAATGACTTTTTTCTTTTTTCTTTTCTCTTTCTTTCTTCTCCTTTTTTTTCTTCTTTTTTTTTTTTCTTTTTTTTTCTAAATCATACTATAGTTCTCTTTTTGGCTTGGTGCAGAGTTGGTTAGTACACTTGGTCATTCTATCATTCAACTCAAATGGAAACAGAAAATGCTTACTTAAGATGTCTTGATTGTTGAAAGTGTGTCACTGATCCGCAAAAGTTTGTTACAGCAGCATTTACATAAAGAACCAAAGCTCAAAATCTCCCATGGCAGACAAAATATGGACTGAACTCACCAAAATGCTCTTTTGATACAAGTAGAGGGAACAAGTGAAGGCTGGAAGGTAATTACAGAAAATCTCTCAGCGTAGTTCTCACAATCGTGGTCGTGATTTCCTGGAGGCATAGAAAGTATGTTAGTTTAAGATATACTAATACAAGAAAATAAAGGAGCTTGTGTAAAATTTGAAGCTCTTTTGTATGACATTAAAAAATGAGACAAAGCAAAAAAACCGAAGGTAAGGCTGCCTAACTATTACCTCTTTTAGACCGTGCTATGAAGTGAGTGATACGCACAAGGTACCGCCTTTTTAGTCAAAAATATCATTGATGAGATCTTTAATGAAACTTTCAATGTGGTATGCTATTTAGCTATTTACATATATGAAGACTATGTTATTTGGAAGAGCTGTATCGTTGTTTCAGTGGCATGTTTGCATTTTGTGAATTTTAGGTAACATGTAAACAATGGACTGATCTCGCATTTATACACTCTTTGTGACTAATATACTAGCTATTTGGTGCAATTTATATTAGTTGCTTATAGCATTACAGTTTCTGCTTACAATTTATTAGCTAGATTGTTCAAATAAACTGACTATTCAGAAGCTAAGGGAGGGATACTTTCGGTTTTTATTTTTTTATTAACAGCTTTTAGGTTACACGAAGTTGCACGAGATAAAACTTTTTTAATCTGTAATCTAGATTTCAATTCTTACAAACGTAGCTATTCATGTACCTGGTGATTAGTTCCTTGGTCAGAGTGATGAACTGGTCTGCCTCTTTCATCGTAGAGAATAAGCCCACTAAACCTTGGTAGCTCACATTTCTCCCCCATAAGTATCGGTCTCTGCCACACTGGAGAGACAGAGTTATGACTCTGCCACCCAACTTCTGCTTCACGTCGCCTCCCAACAAGCAGTGGTATCGGCCCCTCTTTCCGACTCCCTCTCATGCTCTCCCTCCATCTACTCACATTACTCCACCGTACTGATCCCATAAGCGCCTTCTTTATCGAGCCACATCCCAACTGTGGCTCCAACCATTTTGTGTCTTCAGATTCGGATTCGTGTTCGGACTCGCTGGGCTCTTGACTGACAAGTTGCTTTCGCCGGCCTCTCCTCTTTATGGCTGCGGCAGTGCAAAGCCCAACAACCAAAAATGCACTGCAAGCAAAAATAAGAACTGCTTCTTGGGTTGATAGATTCAATTTGTCCTCCAAATCCCATAGAGCTTCCATTGGTTGTTCCTTTTAAGTGTTTCAGAGAGAGGACAAAGAAGTAGAGTTTTAGTAGGGTATAGGATGTGTTTGGTGAATGAGAATTTATTTTTTGTTATGGTTATATTTGCAAATTGCCAAGTTGGTAGGGTTCATGTGAGAGGGTCAAGTACTGTCGGTGAGATTTGGGCCCTAAGCTTGGAAAAATTATTTCATGGTCCACGGGCATCATGTGGCCATGCTTTTGATCAATCACAAACTAATATGTCTCCTGTTGTTTCTAATCACTTAATATAAAATTATAAATTACATATTTTTTCACCAATCACAATACATCTGAGGCACGACGCAAACCAATATGCCTCATGTTGTGTTCAATCACCTAACATAAAATTGTAAATGTTACATTTTTTCACCAATCACAATACATCTGAGGCACGACACAAATCAATATGCCTCTTATTGTTTTCAATTACCTAACATAAAATTGTAAATTTTACATTTTTTCACCAATCACAATACATCTGAGACGCTACATAGTCGTGCTCTAGGACTATCAAATAACTTCTCGCAAGCTTGATGACTTGAGGATGTTGTTGAATTGTAATATAGCCGTTAGCAATTACTCACCGATGGATCTGAATTAATGAAATGGACTCACGGGGGATTCATGCAAGCAATGTCAAAAAATGTAACAACGGTAGGGACCAAAAAAGAAAGTGTAAATTACACTAATCTCCCTAAAGGTTAAAGAAAATACAAGAAACATCACAGTTTTTACATAATTATATTGATCACCTTTTTTTAGTATGGTTAAAGGGATTGAAACTAATACAAATAATGCAAATACACAAGGATAAATAAGGAAAAATATAGATTTTAGTGTAAAAAATGTGGTAATAGCATTTTTTTTCATCCATATAACTAATGAATTATTGATAAAATTAAGTTAAATGTTATGTAAATTAAAATTTTAAAATGAACTTAATATAATTATGTCAAATTTGTGGGGTTATTATATTTTTTCGAAATTTTAGAGGAGGTCGGTGCAATTTTCTCAAAAATAAAATAAATAATTATATTTTCTTGCTATCTTTTTTGGATAAGAATGGCATAGGGATATATATGTGATTTTTTTGGTATTATAAAAATTACGACCAATTAGTTGTTTTTTAGCAAATCTCACAATTTTTTATTTTTGGTAAAAAAAAATGAACTGTAAAATAAGACTGTTCTCTCTTTCTTACCAAATCAATTGATACAAACAGACACAATTCTCTACGATTATATTGTGCTAATTTAATAATTTAAGTTTAAAATTAAAATCGCTTCTAAAAATGGTTTAAAATTAAAATAAAATGAAGTCGTTTTAAGTAAAAAAAATGTGTCCATTTTATTTTAATGTTAAACTTAGATTTTTGAATTATGTATTTTGTTGCTGTATAAAATATAACAAGATTATTACGAAAAAATCCTGAGAGAATGGAGACAAACGGTGACTTGATTTAGTTGATTAATTAAAAATGAATGATTAGAAGACTCATTATTGTCATCTCATCAACAAACTACATGCATCAATTAGGATTAGACATAGGGTTATCCGAGCCGCTTAACCCGCCCAACCTAAACTGATCTGCATATAAATAGGTGGTTTCACAGACATAATAAGGACGGATGCGGTTTGAAATATAGCATGATTGTGGATAGCGGGTGGGTTGCGGGTTTAACCCGCACCCACAAGCACTCGTCTGCATTTAGATTTTTTTTTTTAAAAACCTGGACTGTTATTATTTTATTATTGTATTTTGGATGAATGTAAAAGTTAATGAATAATTACTTTTAGGTAAATTTAGGATTTTGAATAATTTTACTTTAATTGTATTGTTGAGTAGTAAATAGTGAATGAGATTGATAATCTAGTTTAGGATTTTGAAAGATGTGCTTGTGTTAGTTTATAATTTGATTTAAAAGTTTAGGATTTTAAATGGTTTGTTTGTGTTAAATTGATTTTGTTGTATTTTTAATTTTATAAGTTTTAATTCATTAATTATTAATATTGCAGCATTTTAGAAAATGAGGGGAAAATGGCCCAAAATAAATATTTACAAAATGGGAAAAAAAAAGTTCCAAAATAAATTTTTAAAAAAAAAAGTTCAATCCACAAACTGCTAGCAACCGCTCGCACATTCGCGAACCTTATCCACACAAGCCGTAACCCGCATTGCAGGTGGTTGCGGGTTGAATTTTTCTCAAACCGCATACATGCACAAACCGTTCAAAACCAAACCACAATCACCCCAAGCATCACTAGCTTATTCTTATTATTATTTTATTTAAGAATATCACAAGTATTCAGAGCCGGCCCTAGGCATAGGCCCACCAGGCCATGGCCTAAGGCCCCTCCAAATAGATCCAAAAAAGGAGCCTCTCTTATTATAATTTAGTGTAACATATTACGTATGTTTTAAGTCTAAAAAAATTAAAGAATGTCCAAACTAACTTAAAATAAATTGACTCATTAAAAAATTGAAAGGTCCATTCAAAAAAATTAGCATTATTATCTATTGAAAATAGACCCAAAAAAGGGCCCCTTCTATTATAGTTTAGTGTAATATATTAGCTATATTTTAAATTCAAAAATAAAGAAAGCCCAAACTAATTTAAAATAAATTGACCCAATAAAAAATTGAAATGCCAATTTAAAATAATTAGCATTGTTAGTGTAGTTCTATTGTAGCTGTAATTAGTTGTAAAGTAAATTGTAAAGTAAAGCTTTCATTATGTTGTTCCCTTAGTGCACACTTTTGTGCTTTCTTCTTTCGGTCCTCTCCCTTCTATAAAGAAGAGTAATCTTCCCATTGTAAACATATACTGAATATATCAATATACACCTCATCCAGTCTCTCTCTCTACCAAACTAACATGGTATCAGAGCGAAGTTCTACACTTCTGGGATCTTCTGTTTTTGGTGCTTAGTCCCGTACACAGTGGCACTACACCAACCTCTTCGGAATCAGCTCACAATTCCAACGGCACCACTCCCGTCACCAGAATCGTTGTCACGCGCCACCTTTGTGTTCGGTGCGTCTCAGCTTCCACCGCCACACGTGCCCCTCCGTTGCTTGCTCACGTCAGCATCTGACGTCAGCCCTACGCTTGTGTGTGCCGTGCTTGCTACTGAGCGCCTAGAGTACGTCAATCTGCTATTGTGCACCAACGTGCGCCATTTTACTCTTATGCGTTGCGTGTGCGCTGTTCCACTATTGTACACCAGCGTGCGCCATTATGCTTTTGTACGCTGCTCGCGCACCGTTCTGCTACGGTGTACCGCACGCCATTCCTGTTATTGTGCGCCACACTCCAACCTGCTATTGTGCCCCGCTGACATCATCCGGCCCTCTGCCGACGTCATCTCTGCACAATAGCCCATTTTCCAGCTATTTTCGACCTTTCGGACTCACTGGTACACTATGTTTTACCAGATTTTGCTCCTATTGGCCTACTCCTATTTATTTAGTCCTACTCCACTTTTAATATGGATCGCCATGATACCTCTCATCTAATTTTTGTTCTTCTTAATGGTTCCAATTATGTACTGTGGGCCCAAGCCATGTCTACCTTCCTCAAATGACGGAAACTTTGGCGTATTATCACCGGGGATGTGACCAAACTGGTGAAAGAGGCCGCTGAATCTACTGCCACATATGCAGACCGACTCGAAGATTGGGACAGTAAGAACTACCAAATCATTACTTGGCTTCGGAATACCTCTGTTCCCTCTATTAGTCTTCAGTTTGGCCATTTTCAACTTGACTTTGTTTCCAATCCTGCTAAAGACATTTGGGATTTTTTGAGAGATCGATACCAGGCTACCGATCTTGTCCAAAAGTATAAACTTCAGAGTCAACTTCACCGCATGTGCCAAGAATCCAGTCAGTCTATTAATGACTTTCTTTTTCAAATGTATTTTGTTTAGGACCAGCTTGCTCTCTCAGAATCGACATGGCCTCACTGAGAAGATGTTGCTTTATTCACTACCTATCGTAATCAGCAATGGTTGGTTCACTTTCTCATGGCTCTCACTCCCTCTTTTGAGCCCGTGTGTACCTCTCTTCTTCATCATCTTCCATTGCCAACTCTTGAACAGGCTATTTCTGAGCTGTTATTTGAGGAGACTCGTCTTGGTACTCTGCAGACTCATCATGTGGACTCTGTTCTTGCCACTCCTCAGTCACGGCCCTCACCGACCCAACGGTCCACTGCTTGCATCTATTGTCAAAATCGGGGCCTTCCTTCTACTCATTTTCTAGTTCATTGCCCTGTCTGATCCTGCCGATATTGTAACAAACTTGGTCATGGTCATCTACAGCAGGATTGTTTTCGCAATCCATCTCGGTCATCTTCCATTAGCCACTCCTCTCACAGTGGCTCTTCTAAGGGGAGCTCTCATCGTCAGTTTAATTGCATTGATGCTGCTGCCTCTGAGGATTTCTCTGAGTCTCCTGCTCCGTCTGCCCCTTTTTTTTTCTCAAACTAATGTTGAGGCCATGTTCAAACAGCTTCTCTCCATCTCTGGTACACCTCCTCCTGCTGCTTTGTCAGTGACTCCAGGTAACTCTTCTTGGTATTTTGACTCCGTTTGTTGTAATCACATGACTTCCAGTTCTACTATATTCTCTTTTATCTCTCTCTCTACTCATCTTCCCTCTATTCATACTGCTGATGGTTCTCTCATGTCTGTCAGTCATGTTAGTACTGTTTCCACATCTCAGTTATCTTTACCTCAAGTTTATCATATCCCTGTTCTAACCTTAAACCTTATCTCTATTAGTCAATTATGTAAGCTTGGTCTAATCGTCATATTTTTTGCTAATGGTTGTTTGGTGCAGGACCCTCAAACAAAACAGACTATTGGGATCGGCCGTAAGCATGGACGTCTATATGAACTCATTCAACTTCATGTTCCTGACTCCCCACAGATCGCTGCTCCTGCATCTGCTTCCTCTTTGTCTCCTTTTCATCTTTGGCATTGTCGCTTAGGACATATTTCTGTTAATCGCTTAAAGTCTTTTGTTTCTAGTGGTCAATTTGGTCATGTA